TTTCAGAGCCAAACATGAGCTGAACTCCAGCACTGCCACTCAGACAAGTAACTAATTAACTCTGTAGACTTCTTTTCTTTTTCTCTTTTTTCCCCTCCATCCCCTTTTTTAATAGAAGAGTTCTTTTTCATTGCCCAGGCTGGACTTGAACTTCTTGGCTCCAGCGATTCTCCCAAATAACTAAGACTATAGGCACACCCAGCTCCTCTTCTGATTTCTAAATCTGGGATGATAATACTACCTCAAACATCTCAAGCCTGAAGAAGTGTAGCAGCTGAATACATAACTTGTGGAGTGAATGAATTAGGTTATTGTGAGGACTAAATGTAAGATCATTCAGAAAACGTTTAGCTGTAAGGGTCAATAAACAGATCCAACATGGAAGCTGCAAAGTGTTGTGTTTATAACTGGCAGCTGGATTGGCATTCCTGTGGTGAGGGCCTGTTTAAGGAACCCAATGTCAAGTCTGAACTTTCTATTTATTCATGTCATTAAAAAGTATTTTCACTTCATCATTTAAGAGTACAGGTTTACTTTGCCTAAGGTTTCATTGAAGCGCTAAGCCTTATTATAAGGTGCACTTAGAGTGATTAGATATTGGTATCAGGGTTTGTTGTGGGTCTTGGAAAAATAAAAGAGAAGCCTTGATAGTTGTGCTGTTTGCACTTGCGTTTCCTCTTATCCCTCAGTGTATGGTTGGTTCAGGGCACAGTGGGCTGATAACCTTTTTCATTTCTCTTCATGTACCACTTTCACAACACAAAAGTTGAAATAGCTCAGCAGTTGCTTTAGAACCTGTACCAGAAGGCTTATATCTATGAAAATATTAGTGAGCTTTTCAGAACTAACTGCATTTACCTGTTTTATGGGTATTTCTAAAAAAATTTTCTTTCCCTGACTGCAAAAGAATACATGTTCACTGCAGATGATTTGAAAAATAAGTAAGGCTCAAAGGAGAACACACTATCATTATGGTATATAACATTTCTGTAGACATAAATCTTTCCAGATGCCACCTCCCTGGGGAGGTGTATATGTGTGTAAAAACAAAAGTCAAATCTTATCAAATCATACTAAACTCATTATGATATGATTAGCTTCCTAAATAAACAATTGCATTAATTCATCCATTCACTTATCCAAGCAAACTAATTAAGCACCTGCTAGGTACTAGGCACTGAACAAAATACAGAAGATGAGGAAAACAACCATACAAAAAAATTATTAAAATCAAGTGAGATAAGTGCTAATAAAGATACAGATAAAGTACAACTGAGGGAGCACAGACAATGCTCTGGGCTGTAAAGATGTCAGGGAAGCTTTCTACAGGAAATGACTTGTGAGCTATTACAGGTAACATAGAAATTCACCAACGAAAGAAGGTAAGGAGAAGGAGGCATGTTAGCAGAGGACAGAGCAAGAAGGTCCCAAATGTGAAACTCCATAGCTAGTTTGAGGCACTGCAAAAATCCAGTGTGGATAAAAAGGGTAGAGGAGCGGGGAGATGAGGCAGAAATGACAGTAGCCAGGTAATGAACAGCCACTGTGGCGTTTGAAGCAGAGGGCTGACATGGTCAGATTTACATCTTGGTCAGAAAATACTGCAGCTTCAAGGATTGAGGGAAGCAAAGGGAAAAACTAGAGATACTCACAAGAGTACTGATGGGGTAAAAGATAGTGAACATCTGTGGGAACAGAGATGAGAGACGATGTCCTGGAAATGATAATGAACTGGAAGTCAAGAGACCTGAACACAGATGAGCTAATGCCTTCCTTCCTCTTCTGCTTTCTAGGTTACTGAGGGCCTGCTATGTATAAACAGGTGCTAGACATATAAAGATGACATGGCCCAATTCTTATACCCCAAGAGCTTACATTCTAGTAGGAAGAAATAGGTAAAAAACATACTGGTTTTGCTTGCCCAGCATGCCTAACCCTCCTTCTTAGGAAACAGGACTCCATTTTTCCTTTGCAGAAACCATCCATGTCTGTCTCACCCAGTCCATGTCAGTTAGGTGGGAATACCCCCACCCAACCCCACTCCAAAAGTGGGTGTACAAACTAGACCAGGCAAACAGGAGCACCTGACTTTCCTGAACACAATGACTGGTTCAGGGATAAGCACAAGACTCTAACCAGGCCAACAAGATCACTCCCTGGAGAATCTGATGGAACTAGGAAACAAGAACTCACTACCCTTTTCCAAGATCCCGATGCTGAAGCCCACATACCCCTTGGGCTATCAGAGTCCTCCCACACTATCAGTTGAGAGTCTACTGTTGGGCATGAAGCCACTCAGGAAGGATAAGTCAAGAAAAACAGTGTTCAGGTAATGTCTTTTGAGACATAGGACTCAGTTATGTACTTCTAGACTTCTAAGGTAAGTCAATAAATTCCTTTTATTTTTTGCCACAGTGAGTTTGATATGGGCTTTTGTTACTTGTAATTCAAAGAGTGCTGACTAACTCAGAGACAGACATAGAATCCCATAGTTGCCACATAATGTGATAGGTGGTGCAGAGTTATCTCCAAGTAGAACAAAGTAGAGTGCAGTCAACCTGACTTGTAGATAGTATAAGCCGGGAAAATGTTCACAAAGAAGGTGTTTAACTGAACTCTTCAAGGATTAGCCATCTGGCAACAGGATAAGGAGCAAAGAGTGGAGTAGAAGCAGCATGCAGAAGCAAGGAAGTAGGAAGAGCATGGAATGTTTGGGGAAAAAAAACAGTCCACTACGTATGCTAAAGCACTAAGTTCACGGCAGAAGTACATGATGAAGAAATTTACACGCCCTGTAGGTGAAGAGGAGTCACTGGGTGATCAAATTAGAGCATTTCACCTCTCATTTAACCTCTGCAGACCATGGTTTCCTCACATGTAAAACAAGCTCAATCAGAATGCATCATTAAAATAGATAAAAATACTAAAATGCCTTACCTGCTGATAGAATTCATCATCTTTGGGAGTCAGATAAGGAAGCCAAGTGTCTTCAAGCTCTTCAAGAAGCCTCAGTTTCTGTTTGAAGATAATAATATTTATAAACTGAATATAAAATGACCCAAAATATAAGTTAATCTTATTTTTCCAATAGTAGAATATTAAAAAATTTTAGACAATTGGAATGTAAATCTTTTTGAGACAGAAATTAGGGAAATGCCAATTATAAAATATATTAATTAAATTACACACATCTTAAATTACAAATTGCATGAAGCATTAATTTTGAAATGATGCTCTTATTCACTCTCATATTTCATGAGACAATTTGATTCACTCTTCACATGTATCTTTGACATCAGGGACTTTTTCATCACTAGAGTGATGAGTCATCCAATTCAGTTTTCCAGAGCAAAACTTCCTGTCTGTATAATCTTCTTGAGACACAGTAGTTTGTAAACCCTTCTATGGTACTATCACCAAAAATACCAAAGCAAGTCACAAGCCTAATATCGGAATATTTGGAACATTTACTCATCCTGCAAACATTTATTTGAGATCATATCCACTTACAGTATTGCTTTTTTAACTGATCTTTTATCTCAACAATAATTACTAAACCTGTGTTAAGCTTCTTTGCTTTGCTTTTCCAGTTTTATGAAGCAGACTTTTTTTTTTTTTTGAGTTGGAGTCTCACTGTCACCCAGACTGGAGTGCAGTGGCCGCTCCCAGCCACCGCAGCCTCGGCCTCCTGGGCTCCGGCGATCCTTCTGCCTCAGCCTTCCGAGTAGCTGGAATTACAGGCGTGCGCTACCACGCCCAGCTGATTTTTTGATTTATTGTAGAGATGAGGTCTCGCTGCCCAGGTGGGTCTCGAACCCGCAGGCTCAGGCATTCCACTCACCTCAGCCTCTCAAAGGCGTGGGATGACAGGCTGAGTGACCAAGCCCGGCTGAAGCAGATTTTTTTAAACATTTGTAGCTAATATTGTCTGGAGACTATGTCTTCCCCAAACAGTAACGTGCTATATTCAAACTAACTGAGAGAGGACCCCATAATATAAAGTATCTTATAAGGAATCAAATACATATAGGACACCTCCCTCTTTCTGAGGGATTTTCCTTCCAAGGAACACCTAACCTTATATTCAAGCACAGATATGTTTGTGTGTGTGCGTGGCATACAAATGGCATAAATGTGTATATACATTCATAGACACATGACACCTAGACATGTACATACTACAGAAATTATTTGTAAGGGAAGAAACCAGAAACAACTAGTTTTCAAATGAAACAGCAATAAAATGCATCATCAGAGTTATTTTCAGCCAGTAAGTCACCTTTATAAGAAAGAGAAAACTGTGTGCCTTGCTCTGGGCCAATGCAGTTCCACTCGATAGAGTATGACTTGGAAACACCAACTAGATTTCAGTCCTCACCTGCTCCAATAACCACTGTCTTTCTATAGTGCACAACCTGCTCAACCAGACATGGTGGCCCTGAGTATTATCCTCTCCTACTCCAGGAAAGTAGCCTTCTCTCACAAACCCATCACAATCAGAATAGTTCAGAGTAAATATTTTTTTGGGTGGAACTCATATTCTTTCTGAACTTTTTATACCATTATCTAAAATGAATAAAGAGAAAAGGAATAGAAATAAAGTAACCAGTTGACCTAACAGAGACAAAACAGTAAAATCTCCTTTCGGCAAAACTCTAGTCTACTTACTTAATTAAAGCCTCTGTTTTGACGATAGGTATTTCCTTATCTATATTAAAAGGGTTGACTTACCAGTTAAACTATTAACAGATTTCCTTCACTAAAGACCTATGATATTAACATAATACAAACCATTACGGATAATTTACAAACTAGTTTGGATAATTCACTAACTGGCTGATTGGTTTGTTTTCAGTATTAGCCATTATTTGAGGCATAGAAAGAGTCAATGATATCTCCATCTGTAGACTTGCATATCTGTGCACTCCATCACTAATTTAATCAAAATCTGTATTTCAAATTTTAATTCAAGCTCAGGAAAGCCTACATTTTTTTCTGTGAATCTTTTGCCAATTTTTAGTCCTTTTTTTAGACACAAAGTACTAGACTATAAATGCCAAAAAAGTTTAAACCTTAAATAATCAAATACATATAGATCTCAAACCTTAAAATGGCTCCACCTTACAAACACCACCTTAAGATCTCTTCATCAGAGTCTATCAATAAAGCTAACTTATGTATAAAGAAAAGCACATAGGCATGGTTTCCCAAAAGGAATTATATACTCCACCTAAATCAGATTCAACAGCAATAGGCCTGTCCCACAAGTCAACAAGTGCCAATGGAGGATGCAACTCTACCTATAATTAATGCTTCAGCTAAATTCTTATTTTAAAAAAATCACTTCTCAGGTCAGTTGAGGTCCCGAGCACCAGAGAGTTATAGTTAAACATTATAACTTGGAAGGCTTCAGAGAAAGGATAAAACGCCAAGAATGTTCCTGCTATAGAGCAAGCAGCATAAATAGGAGTGTCTTCCACTAGGAATCTCATATTATGAGCATCATTGTATCTAAACGACAGCAGAGAACGGGAGCCAGAAAATCACTCAACTTAAGACCACACAGATGAAAACTTGTTCTGTATATCAACAACCACTACTTGCAATTACACCAATTAACTGACAATATCAATTACAAATAACAAACATACATAGAAGTTTTGGTCATGTTTACAGTGGTAAAATCAATCATAAATCAATATTAAATTAAATTGGCAATACATAAACATCAAAATTAAAAATCTGGATTGCTTTATCAAAATTAAAGATTAAGGTTGCTTTATAAAAAGTAAAGCCCCTGTGGGAAAGACTAGAGAAACAGGTCCTTTCATACTTTGCTGTCAAGAGGGCAAAACAATTCAATATTTATAGAGGGCAACTGTCAATTCCTTTAGAAACTCAAATGCATTTACCATGTGACCTAGAAATCCTACTTCTGATTTATCCTTCCAATATACTTGAACCATGTTCAGAGGAATATATGTACAAGGCTACTCATTACATCATTATTTGTACAAAAGCTTGGAAACATACTTTAAAAACCACTGAACTGTACACTTTAAAAGGGTGAATTTTGGCCGGGCTCGGTGGCTCAGCCTGTAATCCCGCACTTTGGGAGGCCGAGGTGAGTGGATTGCCTGAGCCTGTGGGTTCAAGACCTGCCTGGGCAACTTGGCGAGACCTCATCTCTAAAATAAATTTTAAAAAATTAGCTGGGCGTGGTAGCGCATGCCTGTAGTTCCAGCTACTTGGAAGGCTGAGGCGGAAGCATTGCTGGAGCCCAGCAGGTCGAGGCTGCAGTGGCCGGGAGCAGCCACGGCACTCCAGTCTGAGCAACAGAGTGAGACTCCAACTTCGGGGGGAAAAAAAAGGGGGGTCTGAATTTTATGGCATGTAAATTATTATCTCAATAACAAAAAGCTTAAAAACAATACAAATGTCTATTCACAGTGGACAGTTAAATAAACTCCAGTATGCCACACAATGAAATACAATACAACAATAATAAGAACAAGTAAGTTCCCTCCTAGTGAAATAAAAGGCTCTCCAGGAAGGTAAAAAACAAGGAACAAAACATCTACTTGTATCTGCATACAGAAACATAAAGAATACATGACAAGCTATTAAAGTGGTTATCTGTCAGGAACAGAGATGGGAAATGACCAGAAGGGGACAGAGGCAGAGCAAGACTACACAAAATATTTTATTTTATATTGTTTTGATTTTTGCACTTTATAAACATCTTGCCTATTCAACACATAACCTATTACCAATTCAAACATATTACCCACTAATTCTTTACGGGAAATCCAGTATCAGATGAAGATGACTTGATTTTTGGCTTTGTTTTAGAAAATACAGGCTTTTGTCCGTGTACAATGAAGTATTTACTTGGGAAACGATCGCAGACAAGCACACTAAAGAATGAAGAGGAAAAAAACCAGCTCTGACAATTTATTTGTGTCAAATGCCAACTGGTTGGTAAACACACACAACATTAAAATGCACTCTGGAGCACAGGTAGAAAGAGCTCACATTTGACTGTCAGATCTGGCTAACTGCGACTCTTCGGCCTGATGTACAGATAAATCCACACAGCTGGGCCCTGTAGCACACTGCTCTGCTCACCCGCTTCTTTGCTGTCACACTTGTGTCAAATACATCAAGCTGCTCACAAATGCCACACCAAAACTCAGAGAGAGCTGAAGCCTTAGCTCTCCCACCTAGCAGGAAGAGCATATGAAGACTCTTCCATACAGGCTACCACCCATTCTGTAGCTTTAGCAAGTAAAGGGGACACAGATCTATGTAAAACACACAGCAACTCAAAACCTTAAGGTTTCAAGTTAGAAGTCAGAAACTATTCCAGCCCTAAGCCTCTGCTTCACTGTAAAAAGGTAAGCTGTATCTGAGTTTGCCTATCTTAAATAAAGATATGGTTTGAAAGTCTTAAGATAATTACATTAAAAGATTAAGTGGATTATGATTCATAATGCAAGGGTATATCTCACCTACAAATGAAGTGCATTTTTTGTCCCACTTCTAACTCTTCAGCTGTGTAAGGATTATGCTGCTTAAGGATACCAATTATCTACCTATTTGTCATTTTCTACAAAATAGTTATTAAATTATGCATCACATTGTGTTACATTCAATAAAAATTTAATTTTGTTGCCTGAGTCTTTTCAAAATATAATCATAAATAATGGCTAATGAATGCTCACTGCAAATATAGTCACATGATTGTCTGAGGGTTCAAAATAGTAAGTGGGAAAACTGGCCTAGTCCTTAGTGTTGAAAAGGTAAGAAAGATCTCTGTAAGAAAGACACATCTTGCATATTTCCTCATCTGTAAGACACTTTCATAGAGTTGTTGTGAAGATGAAATATATTTCATCATAAATATTAGCACATTTTGCAAACTATAAACTATGTAAATATCAGGCAAGCGACATTCAAATGGGGGGGGAAGGGTCTGCGTAGCAAAGCCTGAGCTAAACAGCCAAACTCTGAGT